AGACAGGTGAAGAGCTGGGATTGGGGATGAAAACAAGTGGATGAGGCGTGCTTTTCTTGGGAGAAATTTTGGGAAGAGAATTTAATAACTGGTGGAAAGGCAGGTAGGGGAAAGGAGGGAATTCAGAGGGATGATCAAGGTAGAAGCCCAGTCCTGCTGATAGGCTCTGTAGAATCTCTCAGATGAGGGGAGAGGTGGTAAGACCAGGAAGCACATTGGTCTTGGAGCCACTGCCCCCTAGATTCCACCTGTGCTGTGGACATCTCCAGGGAGTGCAGAAAGGAAGCAGGTCAAACTTCTAAGAGCAGTCAGACTGGCTGTTCTTAGTTCTCACCTGAGCAAGGTCAGTCTGCAGCCAGAGTACAGAGGGCCAACATTAGTGTTCTTGAACAGGGGCCTGAGCTGTGGGGGAGAGAGGGGAGGAGAGTGGGAGGACTGAAGTCATAGGGGTATGGTAGAAGGGAGGTGGGCATGGCTGGCATCAGTGGTTGGGGCATGCATATCTGGGGGCAAAATGGGGTAAGCGAGATCTTCCATGCCTTCCCACCTTCCATAGGTGAGGTGGACAGTACTAAACAAGGTGAGTGGGATAGAATGAGGTAGGTGGGGCTCATACCAGACCCTGAAGGACTCTGTCTGTGGTGTTAAACTTTCTAGAGCCAGGGTGATGCATGTTCTCCTCATACCGCAGGTTAGTGATGGTGAAGTTAATTGTGAATAGCACCAGGAAAGGGCTGGTGGCTATAGTGAAGGTGGAAAAAAAACGCTGTGTTCAAAAGTGGACTAACATTGAAGAATATGTGATAGAATTATTTCTAAACATATGTAACAGGATTTAAAGTGATAAAAGGTTTTCATACCTCCCTTGACTATAATGATAGTTTTCATACAGCATGCTAAATAATAGGAGCTAGATGCTGAGCACAGCTCCTGGTACATATTCAATATTCCATACCACTAGACATTATCTACTACCTTTGTCAACACCATGATCATCAGCAACACTGTGACCATCACCATTATTATTGTCATCACCACGAGCATCAGCACTAAAACCGTGACCATCATAATCCCTATCATCCCCACCCCATCATCATCATCACACCACCACCACAACCACCATCATCCATACAATCACCACTAGCACATGGTCACTAACACCATCGTCATATCATTCTTACCATCAAAACCACCATTAACACCACCACCGCCACCATCATCATCACCATCATCATTATTCTCATTGTCAACATCACGATCACAGTGTCAACTACCACCAGAACCATCACATCACCACCACCACTATCATCCTTCCCATAATCACGACCACTATCATCATCACCATCAAAATCACCACCACCACCATCATCATCACCATCATCAGCATCACCAACATCATCAGCAACACCATCATTATTGTCATGTGCACCACCATCATCACCACCACCCCATCTTCATCATCATCATCATCATCATCACCACGATAATATAACCTTCCTGAGGTCAGAGATTTTTATTTCTTTTGTGTTCCCTGCCTTATTCCTAGGGCTCTGAAGAAGCCAGGCGCTCAATAAAATTTGTTGGTTGACTTCTCATCACTAGATTCACTAGGACTTTTTATCTTTATTTGAGTGAAAATGGCAGAGATGTTGACACTCCTCAGGCATGCTGTAATAGAGATGCCACTGAATAGTGCTCACCCGTGGGTCCAGACAGGGAGGCTGGAGTTCTAGAGGTTCTCAGATGCACTGTGGAGGTCTCAGGAGCTGAGGAGAAGGTTTGCTGTATTAGTGAAAGTAGCAAACACTCTCAGGGCAGAAATACCAGCAGGTGGGGATATTTACGGGCCTTGCTGCAATGTGGGGCTTGAGTGGGATCTCCATCTGGAGCTGGGCCACATGGGAAAGGGAATAACTTGGGCTCTCTCCATTCCTTCCCTCATGAAGAGGATATAGAGGCACAGAAGGAGAGAGAAGCTCCTGCCCTGTATGGCATAGGATCAGGAGTACTGGGACATCCATTAATACTCACTTCTGGTGGTCATCAGGGAACTCCGATGGGTGAAACCTGCAATGAGATGAAGGGAGAAGAGTGGGTAAGTGTTTAGGGAACGCTGGAGTACTCTGGTGCAATGGAAGGAGTTTCCCAGAACACAGGCCACTGAAGATTCTCTATCAGCACCCTCAGATTTAGAAAACAGGTCCTGAGGGTAAACTCAGTTTGAGATGAAGAAGAAACCATGAAGTTTTGACCTTATCCACCACATACAGACAACATGACTGAGTCTTCAGTAGCCAGGCAGGGAGTGTGACCTCAGGCCAGAGAGTGGAGGCTGCCCAGCAAGGAGGAAGAGACTCCAGCCACATCCAAGTTGCTCACCATTGATGTAGAGACTGCTCTTGTCCAGGGTGTAGGGGCCCAGCTCAGTGATGCTCTGAGTCAGCTGGCTCAGCTCCCAGTACAGCCGCTCTCTGTCCAGCTCAGGGTTTTTGGGGTCAGGACGATGGGTGCAGACAGCATCCACTCTGGTAGCTGCCCCATCCTTCTCAGGCCTGGGGAGGGTAGATGAAGCGAATAACAATTTAAAAATTGCCTCAGGAGGAGTTCTGAGATTTCTTGGGGCCAGACAGGAAGGGGCCAGAGGGAATGAGAAGCATGGGAAAGAGGTAAGAAGTCACATTTAGATTCTCTGAATGTCCTGGCTGCCAGCCAGCCCAGGACTGTGAGCCGTGTCATAGATGCAAGAACTTTCATAAAATTGCAAGGTGAAGCCTGCATTCTCATGGCATGGAGACAAGAAAAAAGCTCACCTTTGCCAGCTACCAGTATCCCATCCTGACTACATAGCACACCTCCTTTTACCTATCCTAAATAAACCCCAGCTCAAATCAAAATGACGCCTATGACTATATATGGTACTCAGACATGAGACGGATGAAGAGCTGGACTTGGGGATGAAAGCAAATGGATGAGGCATGTTTGTCTTAAGAGAAATCCTGAGCACAGAATTTAACAACTGGAGGAAAGGGAAGTGAGTGGAAAGGAGGGAATTCAGAAGGAGGCCCAGGGTGAAGCCCAGTTCTGCTGATGGTCTCTGCAGAATCTCTCACTTGATTGGGAGTGGTGCTGATGGTATCAGGAGACAGATTAGTTTTGAGGCCACTGCCTCCTGAATTCCATCTGTTGTGAGGACATTCACAAGGATGGCAAGAAAAAAAATCAATCCAAACTCTTTGATACTGGGAACAACTAGGGCAGCCAGGTTGCCTCTTCTAAGGTCTCACCTGAGTAAGGCCAGTCTGCAGCCAGAGTATAGAGGGCCGACACTGGTGTTCTTGAACAAGGGCCTGAGCTGTGGAAGAGGGAGAGGGAGGTGACTAGGAGGGCTGGGGGCATAGTGGTGGGGCACAAGTGTGGCAGGTGCAGCTGGCACCAATGGGCAGGGCTTGTGTCTCTGGGGGAGGTGGATGAGATTCTCTTCCATGGCCCTGACATGGGTGACATTGTTGGGATCAGGTAAGGTGGGCAGGACAGAGTAAGGTGGGCAGGGCTCTCACCAGACCCTGAAGGACCCTCTCCATGGTGTTGAACTTCCTGGAGCCAGGGCGATGCATGTCTTCCTTATACTGCAGGTTAGTGATGGTAAAATTGAGGGTAAATGGCAGCAGTAGGGGGCCGGTGGCTGTAGCAAAAGGTGGGAAACAAACCCTATTGTATTTGTTTGTATTTTTAATCTGTTGCATATGATTAAAAATAAGTCTACTACAAACTCTTCATGGTTCTCCACTTTTGCAATAGACTTGAAGAGTTTGCAATAGATTTAATTTTAATCATATGAAACAGAATTTAAAATGAATGACAAAATGAAAGTTTTCTGTTCCCTTCTTGTTAGAAATTATTTTTTAAGGCATATTAAATAATACTGGTTAGATTCTGAGCCCAGCTTTTGGTGCATATTCAGTGCTGAAAAATATCAGATAATACCTGGTACCTCTGTAATCACCATTATCTTCATCACCATCATCATCACCATTATTGTCACCATCAGCACCGCCACCATCACCACCATGATAATCCCCATCAACACTACCACAAACATCATCATCACCATTGTCATATCATCATTACCAACATAATCACCATCACTGTCATCTGAATAATCATCATGATCATTGTCATCGTAATCACCATTGCCATCATTATTGTCATCCCCAGTAACGCCACCATCACCAGTGTCATAATCTGCATGAACACCACCACAAACATCATCACTACAATCACATCATCATTACCATCATAACTGTCGTCATCCAAACAACCATCATCATCTTTACCATCATTATCACCATTGCTATCATCATCACCACTCCAACATCATCACCGCAACAACACAACCATCATCATCATAATTGTTATTATAGTTATTGCCAACATACCCATAATTATTGCCAATTGTAATCCCCACCCCCACCACCATCATCCCACCATCACCATGACCTTCATTTTTCCCATGATTACCACCACCATAACCATCATCATCACAACCATCACAGTATCCTTACCATCATCACCACCACCACCCCCACCACCCCCATCATCATCACCATCCCCCCATCATCATCACAATAATATAAGCTCACTGAGGGCAGTGCTTTTTCTTTTTTTTCTTTTTTTTGTTCCCTGATGTATATCCAGGTCCTGATACAGAGGCAGTGCTCAATGAAGTTGGTTGGTTGACTTATCGTTACTAGATTTACTGTGTATTTCCATCTTTGAGTGAATAAAAGCAGAGGTGTTTACACTTACCAACCATGCTTTAACAGAGGTGCCATTGAGGTACTTACCTGTGGGACCAGGGAGGGATGATGGAGTCCCAGAGGTTTCCAGCTGTACTGTGAAGGTCCCAGGAGCTGAGGAGAAGCCCTCATTAGTGAAAGGAGCAAGCACTCTCATGGAAGTAATGGCAACAGGAGGGACTATTCATAGAGACTTTTGCATGTAGGGATTCAGCTGGGACTCTGGTTAGCTGAGGCAGTGGAGAAGGGAATAATTTGTGCCCTCTATGTTCTTTCCCTTATGAAAAGGACATAAGGGCTTATGAATAGGGGACAGCTCCTGCTAAACTTGGTGTAGGATTGGGACCACTGAAACATCAGTAGAATACTCACTGCTGGTGGTGGGCACAGGGCTCTGATGGGTGAATCCTGCATAGAGAGGAAGGGAGGAGAGTCAATAAGAGTCAAGGGAGAGGTGGGGGATCAAACAAAAATCAAGGTTACCCAGGAGGAATGAAAGGAGTTTCATGAAACAGTAGCCTTTGGAGATTCTCTGTCAGAATCTATGTATAAGGGAAGAAGGTACTAAGGATGAAATCAGTTCAAGATAAAGAAGAAATCATGACATTCTGACATCAATCACCACATACAGACATGTGCTAGCCTTCAATGTCCAGGCAGGGCATGTGACCTCAAGCCAGAGAGTAGAGGCTACCCAGCCAGGATAAAAAGACTCTAATCACATCCCAGCTGCTTACCATTGACATAGAGACTGTTCCTGTCTAGGGTGTAGGGGCCCAGCTCAGTGATGCTGTGGGTCAACTGGCTCAGCTCCCAGTACAGCTGCTCTCTGTCTAGCCCAGGGCTTTTGGGGTCAGGGCGATAGTGGCAGACGGTGTCTAATCTGGTGGCTGCTCCATCCTTTTCAGGCCTGGGGAGAGGCAGTGAGGAGAATGGCAATAAATGAATTGCCTAAGGAGAATTTCTGAGATGGCAGAGTGAAGGACAAGAAGGACAGAGGAAATAAAAAGTCTAATGCAGAGGTGAGAAGGAACAGTTAGGTTCTCTGAGTGCACTGGCTGGCCTGGGACAGCAAGCATAATTGTGGACACAATCGTTTTCCTAAAATGTCTGGGTGGATCCTGCATTCTCACAGCATGGAAACAGGAGAGCTCAGACTTGAGATAGCTCAAGAGCTGGAATTGGGTATGAAAGCAGGTGGTTGAGGCATTTTTGTCTTGAGAGAAATCCTGGTTACAGAATTTAACACCTAAAGTCAAGGGAGGTGGGGGGAAAACCAGGAATTTGAAGGGATGGCCACAGTACAAGTCCAGTCCTGCTGATGGACTCTGGAATCTCTAAGTCAGTTTGGAAGTGGGGGCAGGGGCATGGCTAGTACCAGGAGACAGGTTAGTCCTGGAGCCACTGTTTCCTGAATTCCATCTTTGGTAGGAATAACCACAAAAGGGACAGGAAAAAAGAAGTCCAAACTCATTGAGACTACAAACAATTGGGGCAGCCAGGCTGGAAATTCTAAGATCTCACCTGAGCAAGGTCAGTCTGCAGCCATAGTATAGAGGTCCAACACTGGTGCTGTTGAACAAGGGCTTGAGCTGTGGGGGAGGCAGAGGGCGGTGAGTGGTAGGGCTGAGGAAGTAGGGGCAGGGCAGAGGTGAGGTAGGTGGGGCTGGCTCACCAGAGGTAGGTGAGGTAGGTGGGGCTGGTTGGTAGAGTTGACATCAATAGACTGGGTGGGGCTTTTATCTCTGGGGGTGAGGGGAGGTGGGTAAGATCTTCCCTGGCCATATAGGTGACATATAGGTGATATAGGTAAGGTGGGTAGGGCAGAGTGAGATAGGTGGGGCTCTCACCAGACCCTGCAGAACCCTCTCCGTGGTGTTGAACTTCCTGGAGCCAGGGTGACCCATGTCCTCCTCATACTGTAGGTTAGTGATGGTGAAGTTGAGTGTGAATGGCACTAAGAGAGGGCTGGCGGCTATAGTGAAGGTGGGAAATAAACACTCTGTTTAAAAGCAGAGAACATTTAAGAGCTTGCAATAGATTTATTTCTAAACATATGCAACAGGATTTAAAGTGAGTGATAAAATATAAGGTTTTCATGCCTCCTTTGGCTATTATGATAGATGTTTTTGATAGAGCACATTAAATAATAGTAGTTAGATGCTAAGCATAGATTGTGGTGTTCCAGAGTGCCAGATCTCATCTATTGCCATTGTTAACACCACCTTCATTTTCAACATCACTGTGATTGTCTCCATGAGTATTATTACTGTCATAATCACCACCATCGGCACCAACCCCACCACCAGCACCATCATCATCACCACCTTCATTAACATAAGTGTCAACATCACCATCATTTTTGTCAATCACCACCGCCATAATTATTACTATCCTTACATAACTATTCCCGTCATAACCACCACCCCCAGCATTGTCATCATCCTCATCACTGTCATCATAATTGTCATCACCACCACCATCAACTTTATCATGATCATTTTCATTATCACCAGCATCATTGTCATCACCATCACCTACATCACCATCACCACAGGAATATAAGCTATCTTAAACAGAAACTGCTATCTATTTCTATGTTCCCTGCTGTATCTCTAGGGTCTGGCACATAGTAGGAGCTCAATAAAGCTTGCAGGTAGACTCCTCATCACTACATTTACTATGACTTTTATCTTTATTTAAGTGCATCATGGCAGAAATGTTTACACTCAGCAGGGATGCTCTAATGGAGGTGCCGTTGGCTGATAGTTACCTGTAGGTTTAGGGAGGGAAGATGGGATCCCAGAGGTTCCCAGGTGCACGGTGGAGGTCCCAGGAGCTAAGGAGAAGCCCTCATCAGTGAAAGCAGCAAGCATTCTCATGGCAGAAATGCCAGTAGGTAGGACTATTATGAGGCTCGCTGCAGGAGGGTCTTGAACTGTGTTTCTTTTTGGGCATAGGGGAGAGGGAATCACTTGTGCTCTCCCAGCACTTTCTCTCATGAAGAGGACATAATTGTTTATAGGGAGGGCTCAGCTCCTGCCCTGCTTGGAGTAGAATTGGGAGTACTAGAACATCAGTTGAATACTCACTGATGGTGGTTGATATGGAGATCCAATGAGTGAAACCTGCAGAGAGAGGGAAGGAGGATAGCGGGTAAGGGTTAAGGAGAGCTGGGGGACCAAACAGGAATTAGGGCTACCCTGGTGGAATAGGAGTTTCATGGAACAGGAACCATTAGAGGTTCTCTATCAGCACATTCACTTCAGGGTCTGAAGAATGAACTCAGACCAAGATACAGAAAAAAATAATGAAGTTCTGACATCAATCATCACATGGCAGAAGCTTCAATGTCCAGTCAGGAAGTATGACCTCAAGCCAGAGAGGAAGGGCTGCCCAGCAAGGAGGAAAAGACTCAACCACATCAAAGCTGCTCACCATTGACATAGAGACTGTCCCTGTCCAGGGTGTAGGGGCCCAGCTCAGCGATGTCATGGGTTAACCAGCTCAGCTCCCAGTACAGCTGTTCTCTATCCAGTCCAGGGCTTTGGGCATCAAGGTGGTAGGTACATATGGCATCCACTCCAGTGGCTTCCTTGTCCTTCTCTGGCCTGGGGAGGTTAGGGGCAGGGGTGGGAGATGACAATGAAAGAATTGCCCAGGAAGGGGTCCTGAGATTCCTGAGGGAAGGACAGAGAGGGTACAGAGGAAATGAGAAGCCTGGGAGACAGGTGAGAAACCATAATTAATTTCTCTAAATGCACCGACTCCCAGCAAGCCTTGGACTGGGAGCAGAGTCATGGATACAAGAATATTTATGAAATTGCAAGGTGAAACCTGCAGTTTGACACCATGAAGACAGGAGAGCCCAGACTTTAGACAAGTGAAGAGCTGGAGTCAGAGATAAAAGCAAGTGGAAAAGCTACCTTTCTCTTGAGGGAAATCTTGGGAACAGAATTTTAAAACTTAAGGAAAGGGATATGGGTAATGGATGTTATTGAGAAGGATGAGTGGAGTAGGAAACCAATCTTGATGATGGGTTCTGCAGAATCTGTCACTTGAGTGGGGAAGTGCTAGGATCAAGAGACACGTTCTTTCTGAAACCGCTTTCCGAGGACAATCACAGATAGGGCAAGAAGAATGCTGAAAAACTCCTGGGGTCTGGGAACACTTGGGGAAGCCCTGATGGGTTATTCTAAGATCTCACCTGAGCAAGGTCAGTCTGCAGTTGGAGTACAGAGGGCCAATACTGGTATTCTTGAACAAGGGCCTGAGCTGTGGAGGGAGAGGGTGAGGGAGGTGACTGGGAGGGCTGATGAAGAGGGGCAGGGCAGAAATGAGGCAGGTGGGGATGACACCAGTGGGTAGGGCTGGTGTCTCTGGGTTGAAGGTGATTCATGTGGGATCTTCATCTATATCTCTGGCATGAATGATGCATGTAGAATCTGATAAGGTGGGCCAGGCAGAGTTAGATGGGTTGGACTCTCACCAGACCCTGTAGGACCCTCTCCGTGGTGTTGAACTTCCTGGAGCCAGGATGTTGCATGTCCTCCTCATACTGCAAGTTGGTGATGGTGAAGTTGAGGTTGAATGGCACCAGGAGAGGTCCAGGCACTGGAGTGGGGGTGAGAAACAAACACTATGTTCAGAAGTTACGGGTTTGCAGTAGAATTATTTTTAAATATACACAGCATTAAATGGATGGACAAAATGAAGATTTTCAATGCCTCCCTTGCCTACAGTGATAGAACTTAAAAATAACATACTATATCACATCAGTTGGATGCTGAGCTTAGCTTTCATTGTATGTTCATTGCTCGATAATATCATACATTATCTCTTACCTTTGTTACCATAATCATAATCACCATCATTGTCACCTACAGCATCATTATTGTTATCATCATTGCCACCACCACCACTGTGATAATCCCCGTCATCACCACCAGCACAACCATCACCACCATGATCATTACCATCACCATCATCACCATCACCACCACCATGATAGTCCTCATCATCACCATCATCATCACCATGATAATCCCCATCATCACCACCATCATCATCATCACCATCATGACTGTCGTCATCATACTACCACCACTACTACCATGATAATCTCCATCAACATCACTACCACCATCATCACCATCATCACTGCCACCATCATCACCATGATAATCCCCATCATCACCACCATCATTACTGTCATCATCACTTCCACCACCACCACCACCATGATAATCTCCATCACCACCAGCACCATCATCATCATCATCGTCACCCACAACATCACTGTTGTCACCACCACTGCCATGACCACCACCATGATAATCTCCAACAATACCACCAGCACTATCATTTATTACACTCAACACATCATCGTTACCATCATAACCCCCACCATTGTCATCATCCTCTCCACCTTCATCATCATCATCATCGATACCATAAGCATCACCATCATCATCAAAATCACCACCACTATCATCATCACAAGAATACAAGCTCTCTGACAGCAGAGATTTTTATCTGTTTTGTATACCTGCTGTATCCCCAGGGCCTGGCACAGAGGAGGTGCTCAATAACATTTGTGGGTGGACTCATCATCACTGGATTTACTATGATTTTTACCTTTATTTGAGTAAATAATGGCAGAAATGTTTCTGCTAATCAGTACTTACCTGTGGGTCTAGGTAGGGAGGATGGAGTTCCAGAGGTTCCCAAATGCACTGTGGAGGTCCCAGGAGCTGAGGAAAAGACCTCATTAATGAAAGCAGCAAGTGCTCTCAAGGCAGAAATGCCAGAAGGTAAGGCTATTTATGGGCCTTGCTGCATGTGGAGTTGGAGCTGGGTCTCTCCTTGGGGCACAAGGTAAAGGGAATAACTTGTGCCCACCTAGCTTTTTTGCTCATAAAGAGAATATGAGGGCATATAAAGTGGGTTCAGTTCCTGCCCTGTTTAATGTAGGAGTAATGACACTGGAATATCAGTTGAATACTCACTGCTGGTGATGGGTACAGAGTTCCAATGGGTGAAACCTGCAGAAAGAGAGAGAGGAATAATAGTGAATAACAGTCAAAGGAGAGGTGGGTGACCAAATAAGGGTCAGGGTACCCTGGTGTAATGGAAGGAGTTTCATGGAACAAAGGCCATTGGAGATTCTCTATCACCACCCTCACATCAGGGAAGAAGGCCTTGAAGATATAGTCAGCGCAAGATGAAGAAGAAACTGAAGTTTAGATGTCAGCAATCACAAAAAGACAACATGGCCGTGTCTAGAATAGTCAGGCAGGAAGTTTGACCTCAAGCCAGAGAGTAGAGGCTGCTCATCAAGAAGGAAAAGCCTCCAACCACATCACAGGCACTCACCATTGACATAGAGACTGTCCCTATCCAGGAGGTAGGGGCCCAGCTCAGTGATGCCATGGGTCAGTTTGCTCAGCTCCCAGTACAGCTGCTCTCTGTCCAGTCCACGGTTTTTGGGGTCAAGGTGGTGAGTGCAGATGGCATCCACACTGGTGGCTTCCCCATGTTTCTCAGGCCTGAGGAGGATAGGTGAGGGGAGTACAATAAATGGATTGCCTAGGAAGGGGTCCTGAGATTCCTGAGGAAAGGACAGGCAGGAGCCAGAGGAAATGGTACAGAGGTGAGAAGCTACATGTAGACTCTGTGAGTGCATCAACTCCCAGCCAGCCTGGATCTGTGAGCAGAGTCATGGACACAAAAATATCTGTAACATTATAAAGCAGATCCTCCATTCTCGGGGCATGGGGACAGGAGAGCTCAGACTTGAGGCAGGTGAAGAGCTGGAATTGGGGATCAAAGCAAGTGGATAAGGCATGTTTGTATTTGAGAGAAATGCTGATTGTACAACTTATTACCTGCAGGAAAGGGAGGTGGTGGGAAAGGAGGCAATTTGGAGGGATGACCAGGGTAGGGGCCCTATCCTGCTGATGAGCTGTGTGGCATCACAGTTGAGTGGAGAGATGTTACTATCAGGAGACACCTTGGTCCTGGATCCACTGCCTCCTGGATTCCACTTGTGCTGAGGGAACCCCCAGGGAGGGCAGGAAGGAAGTTGTCCTAACTTCTTGGGACTGGGAACAACTAGGGACAGTAGGCTGGCTCCTCTAAGGTCTCACCTTAGCGAGGTCAGTCTGCAGCCAGAGTACAGAGGGCCGACGCTGGTGCTCTTGAACAAGGGCTTGAGCTGCAGAGGAGAGGGGGCGGTGAGTGGGAGAATTGACGTGCAGGGTCAGGGCAGACATAAGGTAGGAGGGGCTGGCATCAGTAGGCTGGGCTTGTATGTCTGGGACCGACGGGTGGTGGATGAGAACTTCCATGGCCCTGGCAGAGTTAATGTAGGCGGGACTGGCAAAATGGTAGGACTCTCACCAGACCCTGCAGGACTCTCTCCGTGGTGTTGAACTTCCTGGAACCAGGGTGACGCATGTCTTCTTCATACTGCAGGTTGGTGATGGTGAAGTTGAGGGTGAATGGCACCAGGAGAGGGCCAGGGACTGCAGTGGGATTGAGAAGTAAACACCATGTTAAAAGTAGAAAAAATATGATATTGCAATAGACTTATTTTTAAACATATGTAACATTTAAAGTGAATGACAAAATAAGTGTTCTCTATATCTCTCTTCCCTATATTGATAGAATTTTGTAAAAAGCACACAGTAGTAGGTAAACACTAAGCATAGCTGTTGGTACATATTCAGTGCTCAATATTGTCAAAAACATTATCTATTCCCTTTGTTCCTACCATCGCCATCATCCTCCTCACCACCATTATTCTTGTCCTTCTCATTACCACCACTGTCATCATCATTATTACCACTACCACCCACTTAATCATCACCATCACAGAAATTTAAATTCTCTGAAGGCAGAGATTTCATGTGTTTTCTGTTCCCTGCTATATCCTTGGGCATTAAAGTTTGTGAGTTGACTCGCCATCACTAGATTGACCATGACTTTCTGTCTTTATTTGAGTCAATAATGGCAGAGATGTTGGCACGCTCAGGCATGGTCTAACAGAAGTGCCATTGATAGGTGCTTACCTGTGTGGCCAGGGAGAGAGGCTGGAGTCCCAGAGGTTCCCAGGTACACTGCAGAGGTCCCAGGAACTGAGAAGAAACCCTCATTACTGAAAGCAGCAAACCCTCTCGTGGTGGAAATGCCAGCAAGTAAAACTATGATGGGCCCTGCTGCATTTGGGGTTTCAGCTGAGCCTCTCCATGGAGCTGGGACATAGGGGAAAGGGAATAACTTGTGCCCATCAAGCATTTTCCCTCATGAAGAGGACATAAGGGCTTAAGAGGTAAGGTTAGCTCCTGCCTTGCTTGGTGTAGGATTGGGAGCACTCGAACCTCAGTAAAAATACTCACTGCTGGTGGTTGGCACAGAGCTCCGACGGGTGAAGCCTGCAGAGAGAGGGAGAGAGGAGAATGGGTGAGGGTTGAAGAGAGTTTGGACCAAATAGTGGTCAGGGTTACCCTAGTGTAATGAGGAAAGTTTCATGAAGCCTGGTCATTGAGATTCTTCATCAGCACCCTCACAAGGGGGAAGAAGGCCTTAAGGGTGAAATCCATGTGAGATGAAGATGAAACCATGAAGCTGAAACCTCAATCATCATATATAGAGCACATCATTAAACCTTCAATGGCCAGACAGGTCATGTGACCTCAGGACAGAGAATAGAGTCTGCCCAGCTAGAAGGAAGAGCCTCTAATCACATCACGGCTACTCACCATTGACATAGAGACTGCCCCTGTCCAAGGTGTAGGGGCCCAGCTCTGTGATGCCCTTGGTCAGCTGGCTCAGCTCCCAGTATAGCTGCTCTTTGTCCAGTCCAGGGCCAGTGGGATCAAGGCGGTGGGTGCAGATGGCATCCACTCCAGTGGCTGCCCCATCCATTTCAGGTCTAGGGAGGGCAAGAGTGGGAAATAGCAATGAATAGATTGCCTAGGGAAGGGTCCTGAACTTACTAGATGAAGGACAGGAAGGGGCCAGAGGAATTGAGAAGCCTGGAACAGAAGTAAGAGGAGCCACACTTCGATCCTCTGAGTGCTTTGACTCCCTGCCAGCCTGCAACTGTGAGCAGAGTCATGGATGCAAGGACTTTTAGGAAATTGCACGGTGGAACCTGCATTCTCACAGCATGTGGAAAGAAGAGCTCAGTCTCGAGACAGGGGAAGAACAGGAATTAGGGGTGAAAGCAAGTCGATGAGGCATGTTTGTTTGGAGAGGAATTCTGGGGACAGAGCTTAACTGGAGGAAAGGGAGGTGGAGGGAATTTAGAGGGGTGATGAGGGTAAGGGCTCAATCCTGCTGATGGACTCTGCAGAATTTGTCAGTTGACGGGGGAGGTGGTAGAATCAGGAGACAAGTTGGTTCTGGAGCCAGTGCCTCCTGAATTCCATCTGTGCTGAGGCCATCCCTTGGTAGGGCAGGAAGGAAGCTGACCAAACTCCTTGGGCCTGGGAACAACTGGGGAACCCAGACTTGCTCTTCTAAGGCCTCACCTGAGCAAGGTCAGTCTGCAACCAGAGTACAGAGGGCCGACACTGGTGTTCTTAAACAAGGGCTTGAGCTGTGGAAGAAGGGGAGGGAGGTGAGTGGGTGGGTGGGGTGTAGGGATGGGGCAGGTGCGGACATGCGGTGGGAGGGGCTGGCATCATTAGGCAGGGCTTGCCTCTCTGGGGCCAAGGAGTGGTGGGTGAGATCTGTGAGGCCTTCCATGGCCCTGGCATGGGTGATACAAGTGGGGCTAGTAAGGTGGTGGAGCTCTTACCAGACCCTGCAGCACCCTATCTGTGGTGTTGAACTTCCTGGAGCCAGGGTGTTGCATGTTTTCCTCATAATGCAGGTTGGTGATGGTAAAGTTGAGAGTGAATGGTATCAGGAGAGGGCCAGGGGCTGTAAAGGGGTTGAGAAATAAACACTGTGTTCCAAAGTAGAGAAATAGGTAACAGTTTGCAATAGACTGATTATTAAATATATGAAACAGCATTCAATGTGAATGAAAAATAAAAGATTTTCATGCCTCTATTGACGACAGTGGTAGAAATTTTTCATAAAGAAGCATATTATATCATTGTAATTACCTGGTGAAAATACCTCTTGGTGCAGATTCAGTGCTCAATAATGTCAGATGTTATTTTTTACCTCTGTTATTGCCACCTTCATTGTCAACATAACCACAGTTGTCGCCACGGCTATCATCACTTTCATCCCTCCCAACATCAGCACCACCACTACCATCATCCGCATCACCATCACTACCATAGCAATCATAATCAGTATCATCACTGCCACCATAACCACATTATCATTACCAGGATAACCACCACCATAATCATCATCATCATCCTCATCCTCATTGTCAGCATCACAATCATCACTGGCAATCACCATCACCATCATCACCACCACCACAATCATCTCAAACATCGCCACTATCACCACAATCATCCCAACATCACCACCATTACATCATCATTACTGTTATAACCAGCATCGCCATTATTGCCATCATCTTCATCACCATCTCCATAATCATCATCACTATCACCAACATCATTAGCAGCATCACCATCTTTATAGTCATCTCCATCATCATCATCTCCATCCACCATCTTCATCACCACCACCCTTATCATTCTCATCATCACAAGAATATAAGCTCTCTGAAGGAAGATATTTTTATCTCTTTTGTATTCCCTGCTATATTCCGTAGACCCAGCACAGAGTACGTAGGTACTCAATAAAATGTGTTGATTGCATCAGCAACACTATGATTTTTCATCTTAATTCACATGAAGATGACAGAGCTGTAGACATTCATCATTGACTGGTATCATTGACTGGTGCTCACCTATGTGGCTGGGGAGGGAGGATGGAGTCCCAGAGATTGCCAGGTGCACTGTGGAGGTTCCAGGAGCTGAAAAGAAGCTCTCATTAGTGAAAGCAGCAAGTACCCTCATGGCAGAAATGCCAGGAGGTAAGACTATTATGGAACTTGATGCATATGGGGCTTGACCTAGATCAGTCCGTAGCTGGGGCAGAAGGGAGGATGAATAACTTCTGCCTTCCCAGCTCCTTCTCTTAAGAAGAGGTGTTATGGATTTATAAGGAGGAGGATCAGCTCCTACTCTGCTTTGTGTAAGATCAGGGGCACAAGTAGTTGAATACTCACTACTGGTGGCGGTCACAGAGCTCCGATGGGTGAAACCTGCAGAGACAGGGGGAGTAACCTGCGTAAGGTTAAGGCAGAGGTAGATAACCAATTAGGGGTCAGGCTACCTTGGTGAAATGGAGCAGGGGCTGTTGGAGGTTTTCTATCAGGACCCTCACATCAGGGAAGAAAGATCTGAGGGTAAACCCAGTCTCCAACATAAAGAAGAAACTATGATGTTCTGATGTCAACTATCAAATATAGACAACATGGTCAAGCCTTCAATGGCCAGGCAGTGAGTGTGACCTCAAGCCAGAGAGTAGAGGTTGTCCACCAGAGAGGAAGAGCCTCCAACCACATCACAGCTGCTCACCATTGACATAGAGACTGTCCCTGTCCAGGGCATAGGGGCCCAGCTCAGTGATGCTGTGGGTCAGCTGGCTCAGCTCCCAGTACAGCTGCTCTCTGTCCAGCCCAGGGCTTTTGGGGTCAGCGTGGTAGAAGCAGGTAGCATCCACTTCAGTGGCTGCCCCATCCTTCTCCGGCCTGGAGAAAGGAGGTGCGGGGAATGACAATGAAAAGATTACCTAGAACAGGTCACGAGATTGCTGATGGAAGGACAGCAAAGGACAAGAGAAAATGAGAAACCTGGGAACGAGGTGAGAAGCCACACACTTAGATTCTCTGGGTGCACAGACTACTGGTTTGCTTGGTACTGAGCAGTCATGGATACAACGATTCTCAGGATGGGTGTGGTGGCTCACACATATAATCTTAGTACTTTGGGAGGCTGAGGTGAGCGGATCACCTGAGTTCAGGAATTTGAGACCAGCATGGCCAACATGGTGAAACCCCGTCTCTACTGAAAATAAAAAATTAGCTGGTAGTGGTGGCACGCGCCTGTAATCCCAGCTACTTGGAAGGCTGATGCAGGAGAATCGCTGGAATCTGGGAGGTAGAGGCTGCAGTGAGCTGAGATCGTGCCAGTACACTCCAGCCTGGGCGACAGAGCAAGACTCCATCTCCCCTGACCCTCCAAAAAATTAATAAATAAAACAATTCTCATAAAAGTGCAAGAGTGGAACTTGCATTCTCACGGCATGGGAAAAAGAGCCCAGACTTGAAACCAGTGAAGACCTTGAAATGGGGATGAAAGCACGTGGATGAGGCATAACGGTCTTGAAAGAAATCCTGCGGACAGAATTTAACACCTAAAGGAAAGGGACAGGCAGCGAAAAGAGGGAATTCAGAGGGATGATCAGTGTAGGAGCTCAATCCTGATGATGGATCATGCAGATTCTCTCTGTTGAGGTGGGATGTGGGGTGTTACTATCAGGAGATACACTGGTCCTGAAGCCAGTGACTCCTGAATCCCTCCATCGGTGAGGTTATGCCTAGGAAGTGTATAAAGGAAGTAGTGCAAAGTCTTTTGGAGTGAGAACAATTGGAGCAGCCAGGCTGGCTATTCTAGTCTCACCTAAGAGAGTTCAGTCTGCAGCCAGAGTACAGAGGGCCGACACTGGTGTTCTTGAAAATGGGACCAAGCTGTGGAGGAGGGAGAGAGAGGTGAGAAAGAGGGCTAAGGTCCCTGTGTGGAAGGCAGAATTGAGGTGGGTGAGGCAGGCACCAGGCACCATTGGGCATGGCTGGGCTCTGTGGGTGAGGCTTGCATCTCTGGGATGAGGGCAAGTTGGGTGCGATCTTCTTCCATCGCCCTGGCATGGATGTTGTACAGTGGCTGGGCATTTGGGGCAGGGCAGAGTGAAGAGGGCAGGACACTAACCAGACCCTGCAGGACTCTCTCTGTGGTTTTGAACTTCCTGGAGCCAGGACGATGCATGTCCTCCTCATATCGCAGGTTGGTGATGGTGAAGTTGAGGGTGAATGGCAGCAGGAGAGGAACAGCTGCTGTAGTGGGAGTGGGAAATAAATACTATGTTCAAAGCAGAGAAAATAGGAGTTTGCAATAGACTTATCTTTAAACATAGGCAACATTTAAATTGAATGACTAAATATTTACCTTGTGTCCCTTGACTATAATGACAGAATTTATTTTTTAAAGGATATTTTATAATAGTAGTTAGATGCTGAGCATTGCTCTTGGTGCATATTCAGTGCTTAATATTGTCTGATGTTACCTGTTATCTTTTTATTGCCATCATCGTTGCTGTCATTGTCACCATCATCATTATTATTATCATCTCCACCACAATCCCAAGCATGACCACCGCAGATATCATCAGCAGCACACTCAACACATCACCATTATCATCATAACCCCACGACCATCACTGGCATCATCCTCATCACCATCAATGTCATTGTCATCAACATCACCAGTCTCATCATCACCATCATAAAACAGCACCCCCAAAAAAAGAAAAATAAAAAAATAAACAGCACCGCCACCACCATCATGATCACACTCAACACATCATCACTAACATCATAACCATCACTGCCATCATCCTCATGTCCATTGTCATCATGGCCAACAAGACCACCATCATCATCATCAACACCATCACTATCATCATCATCACCATCATCCTCATAACCATCACCACCACCATCATCACCACGTGAACACAAGCTCACCACCACCATCATCACCACGTGAACACAAGCTCACTGAGGGCACAGATGTTTTTATTGGTTTTGTTTTCCTTGCTGAATCCTTTGGGTCTGGCACAAAGTAGGTGGCCGATAATTTTTTTTTAGTCCACCCACTATCACTAGATTTACTATGATTTTCTATCTTTATTTGAATGAAAAGGGCAGAGTTGTTTACATTCATCATGCATGCTCTAATAGAGATGCCACTGACTGCTACTTACCTGTGGGGCTGGGAAGGGAGGATGGAGTCCCTAGGGTTCCAAGGTCCACTGTGGAAGTCCAAGGAGCTGAGGAAAAGTCCTCATTAGTGAAAGCAGAAAGCATTCTCATGACAGAAATGGCAAGAGGGGAGACAATTTATGGGGTCTGCTGCCTGTCTGGCTAGACATAGATCAGTTTTTGGAGCTAGGGCAGAGTGGAGCTTGAGTGACTTCTGCCTTCCTGTCTCTTTTGCTGAAGAAGAGGACCTATGGGTTTATGAGGGGAGCCAGATTCTGCTACGCTTGGTGTAGGATCAGGGGCATGTGGACATGAGTTGAATACTCACTGCTGGTGGTGGGCATGGAGCTCCAATGGGTGAAACCTGAGTAGAGAAGGAGGGAGGGGAGTGTGTAAGAGTTAAAGAGACACTGACGATTAAATAGGGGTCAAACTGACCCTGGTGCAATACAATGAATTTCATGGTACAGAAGCCATTGAAGATTTCCTATCAGCATCCTCACATCAGGAAAGAATGCCCTGAAGAACACAGTCCATGATGATAAGGAAACCATGAAATCCAGACCTGAGACATCTCATGTAGAGCACATGACAGAATTTTCAATTGCCAAGCAGGGAGTGTGACCTCTAGTTAGAGATTAGAGGCTGCTCAGCAAGGAGGAAGAGATTTCAACCATGTCACAGCTGCTCACCATTGACATAGAGACTGTTCCTGTCCAGGGTATAGGGGCCCAGCTCTTTGATACCATTGGTCAGCTGGCTCAGCTCCCAGTACAGCCGCTCTCTGTTGAGTCCAGGACTTTTAGGGTCAAGATAGTGAGTGCAGATAGCATCCACTCCAGTGGATGCCCCATGCTTCTCAGACCTGGGGAAGGTAAGTGGGTAAGAAGGTAAGAATGACAATGAAAAGATTACCTAGGACAGTCTTGAGAATGCTGAGGGAAGAACAGCAAGGGACTAGAGGAAATGAGAGACCTGGGAAAGAGGTGAGAAGCCACACTTAGATTCTCTGAGTGCATGGACTACTGGCTTGCTTGGGACTGTGAGCAGAGTCATGGATGCATCAGTTTTTATAAAAGTGCAAGGTGAAACCTGCATTCTCATGGCATGGGTACAGGAGAGTCCAGATTTAAGACCAGTGAATAGCTGGAAATGGGGAAGAAAGCACATGGATGAGGCATGATGTCTTGAGAGAAATCCCGCAGACAGAATTTAATACCTAAAGGAAAGGGAGGGACAGGAAAAGGAGGGAATTCAGAGGGATGAGCAGAGTAGGGGCTCAATCCTGATGATGGACCATGCAGATTCCCTCTGTTGAGGTAGGGTGTGGGGAGGTTACTATCAGGAGACAGACTGTTCCCAAATCCATTGACTCCCAAATCCCACCTTTGGTGAGGCTATGCCTAGAAGTGTAGCAAGGAAGCAGTGCAAAGTCTTTTGGAGTGAGAACGTGTGGGGCAGCCAGGTTGGCTATTCCAGTCTCACCTAAGAGAGGTCAGTCTGCAGCCAGAGTACAGAGGGCCGACACTGGAGTTCTTGAACAAGGGACCAAGCTGTGGAGGAAGGAGAGGTGAGTAGGGTGGCTAAGGTCTCTGTATGAGGGCAGAAATAAGGTGGGTGGGGCAGGGCCAAGTGGGTCAGGCTGGCCTCAGTGGGTGTGGCTGCCCTCAGTGGGTGAGGCTTGCATTTCTTGGGGAGAGGGTGAGGTGAGTGCATTCTTCTTACATTGCCCTGGCATGGGTGTTGTAGGAGGGACTGAGTATCTGGGTTGGGGCAGAGTGAGGAGGGTGGGGCACTAACCAGACGCTGCAGGACCCTCTCTGTGGTGTTGAACTTTCTGGATCCAGGACGATGCATGTCCTCCTCATACTGCAGGTTGGTGATGGTGAAGTTGAGGGTGAACGGCACCAATAGAGGAACAGCTGCTGTCGTGGGAGTGGGAAATCAATACTATGTTCAAAGTGTAGAATATAGGAGCTGGCAATAGACTTACGTTTAAACATACACAACATTTAAATTGGATGACTAAATAAATATTTAACATGCCTCCCCTGCCTTCAATGACAGAACTTATTTTTTAAAGGATATTATATAATAGCAGTTAGATGCTGAGCATTGCTCTTGGTTCATATTCAGTGCTCAATATTGTCTGATGTTATCCATTATCTTTTTTATTGTCATCATCATCATTGCTATCATTGTCACCATCACCATTATTATCATCACCACCACAGTCCCAAGCATGACCACCACAGATATCATCAGCAGCACACTCAACACATCACCATTATCATCGTAACCCCACGACCATCTCTGACATCATCCGCATCACCATTATTGTCACTGTCATGAATATCACCAGTTTCATTATCAACATCATAAACAGCACCACCGCCACCACCACCACCACCATCATCACACACAACACATCACCACTAACATCATAACCATCACTGACATCATCCTCATGTCCATCAACATGGTTGGCAACATCACCACATTATCATCAACAGCATCACTATCATGATCATCATCATCAACAGCAGCACCACCACCACCACCACTGTTATCAACAGCATTGCCCTCATGATCATGATCATCACCATCAACAGCAACTAGCACCACCACCACTATCATCATCATCACATGAATATAAGCTCACTGAGGGCAGAGATATTTTTTAATTGGTTTTGTTTTTCTTGCTGTATCCCTAGGGCCTGGTATACAGTAGGTGGCCAATAAATGTTTTTGGTTCACTCACTATTACCAGATTTACTATAATTTTCCATCTTTATTTGAGTAAAAATGGCAGAGATGTTCACACTCATCAGGCATGCTCTAATAGTGAGGTCTGGTACTTACTTGTGGGGCTGGGGAGGGAGGATGGAGTTGCTGAGGTTCCAGGTCCCACTGTGGAGGTCCCAGGAGCTGAGGAAAAGTCCTCATCAGTAAAAACAGAAAGCACTCTCATGGCAGGAATGGCAAGAGGGTAGACTATTGAGGTCTAATGCATGTGAGCTTGAGCTGGGTCTGCCTTTGGAGCTGAAGCAGGGGGAGTTTGAATGACTTCTGCCTTCCCAGCTCCTTTGGTCATGAGGAGGACTTATGGGTTTATGAGGAGGGGCCAGCTCCTGCTTCACTTGATGTAGGATCAGGGGCATGTGGACATGAATGAATACTCACTGCTGGTGGTGGGCACGGACCTCCTGTGGGTGAAACCTGCATAGAGAAGATGGGAGGAGGTGGGGTAAGGGTTAAGGAGATGTGGGGGATGTAATAGGGGTCATGGCTATCCTGATGCAATTAAATGAGTTTCATGGGACAGGGGCCATTAAAGATTTCCTGTCAGCATCCTCACAACAGGGAAGAGTCCCCTCAGGGAATGTAGTTCACTATGACAAACTGTGAAGTCCAGAACTTAGTCATCCCATGTAAAGCACATGACAGAATATTCAATGGCCCGGCAGGCAGTGAGACTTCAAGCCAGAGATTAGAGTCTGCCCAGACTCTAGGAGGAAGTACCTCCAACCACGTCACAGCTGCTCACCATTGACATAGAGACTGTTCCCATCCAGGGTGTAGGGGCCCAGCTGTTTGATGCCACTGGTCAGCTGGCTCAACTCCCAGTACAGCTGCTCTCTATTGAGTCCAGGGTTTTTGGGGTCAAGATGGTGGGTGCAGATGGCATCCACTCCAGTGGATGCCCCATGCTTCTTGGGCCTGGAGAACGTAGGTGGAAAGAATGATGATGAAAAGATTACCTAGGTTGTGTCTTTAGACTGCTGAGGGGAAGACAGTAAGGAACCAGTGGAAAGGAGAAACCTGGGAAAGAGAAGCCACACTGAAATTATCTGAGTGCACAGACAACTGTCTTTTTTAGGACTGTGAGCAGAGTCATGGGTATAATAATTTTTGTAAAAGTGCAAGGTGAAACCTGCATTCTCATGGCATGGGGAAAGAACAACTCAGACTTGAGACCAGTGAAGATCTTGAAAGGGGGATGAATGCATGTGGATGAGGCATGATTGTCTTAAGAGAAGTCCTGGGACAAAATTTAACAACTAAATGAAAGGGAGGGGCAGGGAAAGGAGGGAATCCAGAGGAATGATCAGGGCAGAGGCTCAATCCTGATGATGGACCATGAAGATCCTGCCTGTTGAGGTGGGGTGTAGGGGTGTTACAATCAGGAAACAACTGGTTCTGAAACCAGTGACTCCTGAATTCCCTTTTTGGTGAGGATATCCTTAGGAAGAGCATCAAGGAGGCAGTGCAAAGTCTTTTAGACTGGGAACAATTGGGGCAGCCAGTCTGGCTCTTCTAAATTCTCACCTGAGAGAGTCCAGTCTGCAGCCAGAATATAGAGGGCCGACACTGGTGTTCTTGAATATGGGACCAAGCTGTGGAAGAGAGGGAGGAAAGTGAGTAGAAGGGCTAAAGTGTGTGTGTGTGTAGGGGCAGATGTGAGGTGGGCAGAGCAGGCACCAATGAGCAGGGCTGGCCTCTGTGTGTGGGGCTTGCATCTCTTGGGGGTAGGGGGAGGTTGGTGCCATCTCCTTTCATCACCCTGGCATGAATGATGTAGAAGGGACTGGATGTCTGGGGTGGGGCAAAGTGAGAGCAGGGCTCTCACCAGGCCCTGAAGGACCCTTTCTGTGGTGTTAAACTTCCTGGAGCCAGGTTGATGCATGTCCTCCTCATACTGCAGGTTGGTGATGGTGAAGTTGAGGGTGAATGGCACCAGGAGAGAGCCAGCAGCTGTAGTGGGAATTGGAAATAAAAACTATGTTCAAAGTAGAGAAAATAGAGGTTTGGAATAGACTTATCTTTAAACATATGCAAAATTAAGTTGAGAGACAAAATATTTACCATGTCTCCCTTGCCTATAATAATACAATTTATTTTTATAAAAGTATATGATATAATAGTAGTTAGATGGTGAGCATAGCTAGTCATGCATATTCAGTGCTCAATATCATCTGATGTTATCTGTTATCTTTGTTATGGCCATCGTCACCATCACCATCATTATTATCACCATTACCACTGTGATAATCCCCATCATGACCACCACAAACATCATCATCACCACACTCAACATATCATCATAGCCGCACAACCATCACTGGCATCATCCTCATCACCATCATTGTTATTGTCATCAAACTCACCACTACCATCATCAACATCATCACCAGTACCATGGTCACATCATAAACAGCACCACCACCATAATCATCATTATTACACTTAACACATCATCATTATTACACTTAACACATCATCATCATCATAACCTTCACAACCATCACTGACAACATCCTCATGTCCATCATCGTCATCGTCAGTAGCATCATCACCATCATCATCAACAGCATCACAATCATCAGTAATCATCATCACATTCAACATGTCATTATTACTATCATAACTACCATGACCACCATCATCATGACACGAACACAAGCTCACTGAGGGCAGAGATGTTTGTATTGGTTTTGTTTTCCTTGCTGTATCCCTAGGGTCTGGTACGCTGTAGGTGGCCAATAAATTTTTTTGCTTCACTCACTATCACCAGATTCACTATGATTTTCCATCTTCGTTTGAGTTAAAATGGCACAGATGTTTACATTCATCAGGCATGCTCTAATAGAGATGCCATTGACTGGTACTTACTTGTGGGGCTGGGAAGGGAGGATGGAGTCCCTGAGGTTCCTAGGTCCACTGTGGAGGTCCCAAGAGCTGAGAAAAAGTCCTCATCAGTGAAAGCAGAAAGCACTCTCATGGCAGAAATGGTAAGAGGGTAGACTATTATGAGGTCTGCTTCATGGGGGCTTGGGCTGGATCTGTCTTTGGAGCTGGGGCAGAAAGGAGCTTCAATAGCTTCCGCCTTCTCAGCTCTTTTGCTTAAGAAGAGGACTTATGGGTTCATGAGGAGGGGCTCCACTTAATATATGATCAGGGACATGTGGACATGGGTTGAATACTCACTGCTGGTGGTGGGCACAGAGCTCCGAGGGGTGAAACCTGAATAGAGGAGGGAGGAGACTGGGTAAGTGTTAAGGAGATGTAGGGAACATAATAGGGTTCAGGGATACCCTAGTGCAATTAAATGAGTTTCATGGGACAGGGGCCATTAAAGACTTCCTGTCAGCATCCTCTCAACAGGGAAGAGTGCCCTGAGGGAATGCAGTTCACTATGATGAAGAAACTGTGAAGTCCAGAACTTAGTCATCCTATGTAGAGCACATGACAGAATATTCAATGACCAGGCAGGGAGTGTGACCTCAAGCCAGATATTAGAGTCTGCCCAAACTCTAGGAGTAAGAACTTCCAACCACATCACAGCTGCTCACCATTGACATAGAGACTGTTCCTGTCCAGGGTGTAGGGGCCCAGCTCTCTGATGCCATTTGTCAGATGGCTCAGCTCCCAGTACAGCCGCTCTCTGTTGAGTCCAGGGCTTTTAGGGTCAAGATGGTGAGTGCAGATGGCATCCACTCCAGTGGATGCCCCATGCTTCTCAGACCTGGGGAAGGTAGGTAGGGAGAATGACTATGAAAAGATTACCTAGGTTGTGTCTTTACACTGCTGAGGGAAGGACAGTAAGGAATCAGAGGAAATGAGAAACCTGGGAAAGAGGTGAGAAGCCACACTTAGATTTTCTGAGTGCACAGACTATTGGCCTGCTTGCGACTGTGAGCAGAGTCATGGATACAACCATGCTTGTAAAAGTGCAAGGTGAAACCTGCATTCTCATGGCATGGGGAAAGAACAACTCAGACTTGAGACCAGTGAAGAGCTGGGGATGAAAGCACGTGGATGAGGCATGATTGTCTTGAGAGAAATCCTGGGGACAGAATTTAAGACCTAAAGGAAAGGGAGAGGCAGGGAAAGGGGAGAATTCAGAGGGATGATCAGGGTAGAGCTCAATCCTGATGATGGACCATGCAGATTCTCCCTGTTGAGGTGAGGTACTGGGGTGTTACTATCAGGAAACACACTGGTTCTGAAGCCAGTGAGTCCTGAATTCCCCTTTTGGTGAGGCTACACCTAGGAAGTGCAGCAAGGAAGTTGTGCAAAGTCTGTTGAAGTGGAAAAAATTGAGGCAGCCAGTCTGGCTCTTCTAAGGCCTCACCTGAGAGAGGTCAGTCTGCAGCCAGAGTACAGAGGGCCGACACTGGTGTTCTTGAATATAGGACCAAGCTGTGGAGGAGGGAGAAAAATGTGAGTAGGAGGGCTAAGGTGCGTGTGTAGGGGGCAGAAGTCGGGGGTGGAGCAGGCACCAGTGGGCAGGGCTAGCTTAAGTGAGCAGGGCTTGCACCTTTTGTGGGAAGTGATGAGATGGGTGCTATCTTCTTCCATAGCCCTGGCATGAATGATGTAGGAGGGACTGGGTATCTGGGGTGGGGCAGAAGTAAAGTGGGCAGGGCTCTCACCAGACCCTGCAGGACGCTTTCTGTGGTGTTGAACTTCCTAGAGCCAGGGCGATGCATGTCCTCCTCATACTGAAGGTTGGTGATGGTGAAGTTGAGGGTGAACGGCACCAGGAGAGGGCCAGCAGCTGTAATAGGAATTGGAAATAAACACTATGTTCAAAGTAGAGAAAATAGGGATTTGAAATAGACTTATCTTTAAACATATGTAAAATTTAAATTGAGAGACAAAATATTTACCATGCCTCCCTTGCCTATAATAATAAAATTTATTTTTATAAAAGTATATTATATAATAGTAGATGCTGAGCATAGGTCTTGCTGAATATTTATTGCTCAATACTGTGTGGCATTTTCTCTTAACTTTATTAACACCATCATCACCACCATTGTCACCATCATGATAATCCCCATGATGACCACCACAAACATCATCAGTTTCAACACTTCATCATTATCATCGTAACCCACCACCATCACCAGCATCATCCTTATCACCATTATCATCATTGTCATCAACATCACCACCACCATCATCATCACCACTATCATCATCATCATTATAAACAGCAATACTACCACCATCATCATCACACTCAATACATAATCACTACCATCATGACAGCACCACCATCACAGCATCATCCTCATCATCATCACCATTGTCATCAACATCACCACCACCATCATCATCACCACTATCATCATCACCATCACAAGCTGCAACACCACCATCATTACACTCAATACATCATAATTAGCATCATAACTTCCACCGACATCACCAGCATCATCCTCATCATCATAATCACTACTGCCATCATTAACAGTATGACCATCAGCATCATTATCATATCAGTGCCACCACTGCCATCATTATCATCCCACTCAACACATCATTATCACCATCACAACTACCACCACCACCACCACCATCATCATCATCATCACAAGAATGCAAACTCATTGAGGGCAGAGTTTTTTGGTTTTTTTTTAATTGATTTTCTTTTTCTTACTGTATTCCTGGGGTCTGGTACACAGTAGGTAGCCAAAACATTTTGTTTGTCTACTTACTATCACAAGATTTACTATGATTTTTCATTTTTATCTGAGTGAAAATGACAGAGATGTTTACACTCATCGAGCATGCTCTAATAGAGATGTCCCTGACTGATACTTACTTGTGGAGCTGGAGAGGGATGGTGGAGTCCCTGAGGTTCCAAGATCCACTGTGGAAGCCCCAGGAGCTGAGGAAAAGTTCTCATCAGTGAAAGCAGAAAGCATTCTCTTGGCAGAAATGGCAAAAGGGGAGACTATTCATGGGGTTTGCTGCATGTGTGGCTTGAACTGGTTCAGCTTTTTGAGCTGGGCAGAGGGGCACTTGAATAACTTCTGCCCTCCTAACTCCTTTGCTCATGAAGATGACTTATGGATTTATGAGGAGGGGCTAGCTCCTGCTCCTCTTGGTATAGGAACCAGGGCATGTGAACATAAGTTGAATACTCACTGCTGGTGGTGGGCACAGAGCTCCGATGGGTGAAACCTGCATGGAGAAGGGAGGAGAGTGGGTAAGTGACAAGGAGAGATGGGGGACCAAACAGACGTCAATGCTACCCTGGTACAACAAAATGAGTTTCATGGTACAGGGACCATTGAAGATTTCCTATGAGCATCCTCACATCAGGAAAGAAAGCCCTGAGAGAACACAGTCCACTATGATAAGGAAATCACAAAGCCCAGACCTGAGTCATCCATCCCATGTATAGCACATGACAGAATTTTCAATTGCCAGGCAGAGAGAGTGACCTCTAGTTATAGATTAGAGGCTGCTCAGCAAGGAAGAAGAGATTTCAACCACGTCACAGGCACTCACCATTGACATAGAGACCGTTCCTGTCCAGGGTATAGGGGCCCAGTTCTTTGACGCCATTGTTCAGCTTGCTTAGCTCCCAGTACAGGTGCTCCCTGTTGAGTCCAGGGCTTTTGGGGTCAAGGCGGTGGGTGCAGATGGCATCCACTCCAGTGGCTGCCCCATCCTTCTCGGGCCTGGGGAGGGTCAGTGGGAAACATGACAATGAAAAGATTACCTAGGTTGTGTCTTAAGACTGCTGAGGGAAGGACAGTAAGGAACCAGAGGAAATTAGAAACCCGGGAAAGAGGTGAGAAGCCACATAGATTCTTAGTGCATGGACTATTGGCTTGCTTGGGACTGTGAGTGGAGCCACGGATACAAGAAGTTTTATAAAAGTGCAAGATGAAACCTGCATCTTCATGGATGGGATGGACATGGGAGCCAGACTTGAGGCCAGTGAAGAGCTGGAAATGAGGATGAAAGCATGTGGATGAGGAATAATTGTCTTGAGAGAAGTCCTGGGGACAGAATATAACATGTAAAGGAAAGGGAGGGGCAGGGAAAGGCGAGAATTCAGAGGGATGATCAGGGTAGGGGCTCTGTCCTGATGATGGGCCATGCAGATTCTCTCTGTTGAGGTGGGGTATGGGGCTGTTACTAGCAGGAAACACACTGGTCCTGAAGCCAGTGACTCCTGAATTCCACTCTTGGTGAGAATATTCCTAGGAAATACAGCAAAGAAGCAGTGCAAAGTCTTTTGGAGTGAGAACAATTGGGGTGGCCAGGCTGGCTTTTCTAAGGTCTCACCTGAGCAAGGTCAGTCTGCAGCCAGAGTACAGAGGGCCAACATTGGTGTTCTTGAACAGGGGCCTGAGCTGTGGAGGAGGGAGAGGGAGGTGAGTAGGAGAGCTAAGTTGTAAGAGCCAGGCAGAAGTGAGGTGAGCAGGGGTGGCCTCCGTGGGCAAGGCTTGCAGTTTTTTGTTTTTGTTTTGAGACAGAGTTCCACTTATTTGCCTAGGCTGGAATGAAATGGCACGATCTTGGCTCACTGCAACCTCTGCCTCCTGGGTTCAAGTGATTCTCCTGCCTCAGCCTCCCAAGTAGCTGGAATTACAGGCATACATGACCACGCCTGGATAATTTTTGTATTTTTAGTAGAGATGAGGTTTCACCATGTTGGTCAGGCTGGTCATGAACTCCTGACCTCAGGTGATCCACCTGCCTCAGCCTCCCAAAGTGCTGGGATTACAGGCATGAGCCACTGTGCCCAGCTGAGGCTTTCATCTCTTGGGGCAAGAGTGAGTTAGGTGTGATCTTCTTCCATTGCCCTGGCATGGATGACGTAGGAAGGACTGGGTATCATGAGCAGGGCAGAGTGAGAAGGGCACTAACCAGAGCCTGTAGGACCCTCTCTGTTGTGTTAAACTTCCTGGAGCCAGGGCGACGCATGTCCTCCTCATACTGCAGGTTGGTGATGGTGAAGTTGAGGGTGAATGGCACCAGGAGAGGAACAGCTGCTATAGTGGGAGTGGGAAGTAAATATTATGGTCAAAGTAGAGAAAATAGCACTTTGTAATAACCATATGCAGCATTTAAATTGAGTGACATAATAAATATTTTCCATGCCTTTCTTATCTATAATGATACAATTTATTTTTTAAAGTAGATTACATACTAGTAGTTGGATGCTGAGCATAGCTCTTGGCACATATTTAGTGCTCAACATTGTGAGATGTTAACTGTTATCTTTATTATCACCATCATCATCATCACTATCATTGTCACCGTCATCATTATTGTCATCACGAGTACCACCAGCACAACCATGACAATCTCCATCATGACCACCACAAACATCATCATCATCATCATCACATTCAACATGTCATTACCATTGTAACCCCACCACCATCACCGACATCATCCTCATCACTATCATCCTCATTGTCATCGACATCACCATCATCAACGTCGCTAGCATAAAATCATCATCATCATCATCACCACCACCGCTACCATCATCATCACACTTAACATATCATTATTACCATAATAACCCCTGCCACCATCATGAGCATCATTTTCTTCATCATCATCTTTGTCATCAACATTACTATCACCATCATCAACAGCCTCAACAGCATCATCATCATCAGCAGCAGCAGCAGCACCAGTACCACCACCACCACTAACATCATCATCATCACAAGAATATAAGATCACTGAGAGCAGAGATTTTTTATTGGTTTTATTTTCCTTGCTGTGTTCCTAGGATCTGGTACACATTAAAGTGGCCAATAAATTTCACTGGTCCACTCACTATCAGTTTATTTACTATGACTTTCCATCTTCATTTGAGTAAAAATGACAGGGACAGCATGCTCTAATAGAAATGCCATTGACTAGTACTTACTTATGGGGCTGGAGATGGAGGATGGAGTCCCTGAGGTTCCCACATCCACTATGGAGGTCCCAGGAGCTGAGGAGAAGTCCTCATTAGTGAAAGCAGAAAGCATTACCATGGCAGAAATGCCACGAGGTGAGACTTTTACAGGGTTTGCTGCATGTGGGCTTGAGCTGAGTCTGTCTTTGGAACTGAGGCAGAGGGGAGCTTGAATGACTTCTGCCTTCCCACCTGCTTTGCTCAAGAGGAGAACTTATGGGTTTATGAGGAGGGGGAGCTCTTGCTTTGTTTGGTGTAAGATCATGGGCATGTGGACATGAGTTGCATACTCACTGCTGATGGTGGACACAGAGCTCCGATGGGTGAAACCTGCAAAGAGAAGGAGGGAGGAGTGTAAGTAGGTGAAAAGGAGTCCTGGGGGACTAAACAGGGGTCAGGGCTACCCTGGGGCAATGTAAGAAGGTTTATGGAATAGGGACCATTAGGCATTTCCTATCAGCATCCTCACAACAGGGAAGAATGTCCTGATGGAATTCGTTCTATGACGATGAAGAAATCATGAAGTCCAGAACGTAGTCATCCCATGTAGAGCACATGGCTGAATTTTCAATTGCCTGGCAGTGAGTGTGACCTCAAGCCAGAGATTACAGGCTGCCCAGTAAGGAGGAAGAGCCTCTAACCACATTACAGCTACTCACCATTGACATAGAGGCTGTTCCTGTCCAGGGTGTAGGGGCCCAGCTTGTGGATGCCATTGGTCAGTTTGCTCAGCTCCCAGTATAGTCGCTGTCTGTCCAGTCTGAGCCCTGCAGGGTCGGGGCGATGTGTGCAGATGGCGTCCACTGCCGTGGCTGATCCATCCTTCTCTGGCCTGGATGAGAACCTATATATGCTTAGTCAATCCACCTCTCCATCCTTTTATCCTTCCTTTCCACTCTTTGTCAGTCCCTAATGAGAACTCTGGGGAAACCGTGGCTAACAAGAATGCAGCTCTCATCAGAGAGTTGCCCATCATAAACGAATTAATAGGATTCTTAGTGAAAGCAGAAAGCACTACCATGGCAGAAATGCCAAGAGGTAAGACTTTTTTTTTTTTTTTGAGACAGTTTTGCTCTGTCACCCAGGCTGGAGTGCAGTGGCATGATCTGGGCTCAATAAAACCTCCCCCTGGGTTCAAGAGACTCTCCTGCCTCAGCCTCCTGAGTAGCTGAGGCTACAGGCACCTACCACCATACCCAGCTATTTTTTTTTTTTTTGTATTTTTAATAGAGACGGGGTTTCACCATATTGGGCAAGCTGGTCTTGAACTCCTGACCTCATGGTCCACCCACCTCGGCCTCCCAAAGTACTGGGATTACAGGCATGGGTCACTGTGCCTGGCTGAGGTGAGACTTTTATAGGGTTTGCTGCATGTGGGCTTGATCTGAGTCTGTCTTTGGAACTGAGGCAGAGGGGAGCTTGAATAACTTCTGCCTTCCCACCTGCTTTGCTCAAGAGGAGAACTTATGGGTTTATGAGGAGCGGCAGCTCCTAGTTTCCTTGGGGTAGGATCCTGGGATAAAAATGCCAGTTCTGCGTAGCCCCAAAGAAGCCTCCTAAGGCACCAGAAGTGCAACGGCTATACTTAGGGTTAATCTGCAATCCGTGGGAGTGGCCCTTGTACTGGTGTGCATAATGGTGGCCTTCTGCTGGTGGCCGAGGCATGGTGTTTTCAAATGGTGGGATCAGAGGTTCAAGTCACCCCCTCTAGATCCTATGGACCAGCAGGGATAGGAGATTTGTTACGAAACTCAAGGGAGCTAAATGGCTTGGGGAAAATGCCCTTTTTTTGCAGGTCTGTCTGAAACTGTGGCTGGTCCAACATGCAGTCAGAAGGTCTTCATGTCTCAGCACCTGTTCCCAGCCACAGGACAGGACTCACCTACCTGGCCACCCACTATTAAGTGATTAGAAGGAAAGGGTGTCCTATGTCCCAGGGTTGTGAGTAGCTCTATAGTAGGAATGACTTTAGAGTAACAACTACCATTTATTAAATACTTTCTATGCAGCAGGGCCAGCATTTTGTATTCATAATCACATTATTTCATCCTCAAAGCATCCCTCTGGGTTGGTACTGCTCAATTCTCCCAGTCAATACCATACTAACATAACACAATTATATATATTATATTATATATGTCTATAGTATATATTATATATATATAATTGTATATGTATACAATTACATGTATATTGTATAACATAATTATATATAACATAAAATATATAAATATGTAGATCTGTAAATATAAACTTAATATAGCAATATATGTGATATCTTTTGTATTTTATACATTATTATATAATATACATATTATTATACCTTTACCTAACATATATTAAACTGGTTTATATATAACTATTTTATATAATTATATAACTTTTTGTATAACTACCATATATCTCTACTTAACATATATTAAACTGGTTCATATATTACTATTGTATATAACTCTATAGCTATTTTTTGTATAACTACCATGTACATTTAGATGCTCCTTGACTCATGATGGTGTTATGTCCTGATAAACCTAAGATTTTTGTTTGTTTGTTTCGTTTTGTTTTGTTTTTGGAGATGGAGTCTCACTCTGTCACCCAGGCTGGACTGCAGTGTCATCATCTCGGTTCACTGCAACCTCTGCCTCTCTTGCCTCAACCTCCTGAGTAGCTAGGACTACAGGCACTCACCACCAAACCCAGCTAATTTTTGTATTTTTAGTAGAGATGGATTTTGTTCATGTTTGCCAGGCTGGTCTTGAACTCCTGACCTCAGGTGATCTGCTGCCTGAGCCTCTCAAAGTGCTAGGATTACAGGCATGAGGCACATGCCTGGCTTGTTTTTAGTTTTTTGGAGACAGAGTCTCACTCTGTTGTCCAGGCAGGAGTGCACTGGTGCAATCTTGGCTCACAGCAACCTCCATCTCTTGGGTTCAAGTGATTCTCATGTCTCAGTCTCCTGAGTAGCTGGAACTACAATTGTCACCAACATTCCTGGCTAATTTCTTTATTTGTAGTAGAGACAGGATTTTGCAATGTTGGTCAGGCTGGTCTTGAACTCCTGGCCTCAAGTGATCTACCTGCCTTGGCCTCCCAAAGTGCTGAGATTACAGGTGTGAGCCACAGTGCCCGGCCCTGATAAAGCCATTATAAGTTAAAAATGTAAGCCAAAAATGCCTTGTGGCCAGGTGTGGTGGCTTATGCCTGTAATCCCAGCATTTTGGGAGACCAAGGTAGGAGGATTGCTTGAGTCCAGGAGTTCGGGGACACCTGGGCAACACAGCAAGACCCCCCCCCTCCACAAAAAGTTTTTAAAATAGCCAGGCATATATATTTTGTTTTGTTTTTGTTTTGTTTTTGGAGATGGAGTCTCACTCTGTAGCCCAGGCTGGAGAGAAGAGGTGTGATGTTGGCTCACTGCAATGTCTGCCTCCTGGGTTCAAGCAATTCTGGGCCCAGGTACGTATATGTTACATGTAACATAATATATATTATATATAGCATATACTATATATGTTATAACATGTATAAAATATAACATGTATAATATACACATATATAACATATATGTTGTATATGTGTATAACATATGTATATAAAATGTCTATAAACATTTGTTTATAAAACTGAGGTCTGCCTCACTTCACCAATGCTCCTAGCTACTAGGGCTCTCCTACCTCTTCCGCCCCCATTCCCGGAAGGAAAGGAAGCTGGAGGTAGATGACTAATGAAATGGGACCCTTGGGAGAGCCACACTTGGAGATTCAGGTGTGGAAGGTGAGAATGTCAGGCAGGAAATGATTTCAACCAACATCTACCCTAAATGACCTGCCCTTTCTAGCACTTGGGGACAGTGCCCTTGGCGCCTCTCAGTCAACCTCAGACAGGCCAGGCCCCCTGTGGCTGCATCTGAGACACTTAGGAGCTCACCTCTTGCCTGTAAGGGTTCTATGCCTCCCTTTCCTCCCCTCTTAGATTCTCTGGGCAAGTTCCTTTAGAGGAGGAGTCAGGTTAGGATTTTCCACATGCCACAAGGCCGTAATAGGGGCAGAGGAAGCAGTGCCACCTAAGGGATAGGAGTTTGGATCTGGAACCTGAAGTGCTGGAGTTACTTTGTGTGCCCTGACACAAGCCACTGCGTCAGTTTCTCCTTCTGCTCCTGCTTCATGAGGCTATTGCAAAGACTGATGAGGCATCAAATATTAAATATAAAGTACATAACGCAGTGTCTTGGGTCTTAGTGAGCTGAGATTGTGCCACCGCGCTCCAGCCTGGGAGACAGAACAAGACACCGTCTCAAAAACAAACAGACAAAAACGTGGAACTGCTGGTGTTGCCAGAGACAAGTATTTGCCATAGACAAGAGCCCTTGGGCCACATCTCCTTCTAGATCTTTGTAGACAAAATTCCAAAGACAGCAAAAAAATGTTTGTGCTTTGCAGTTTACAATAGCAAAGACCTGGAACCAACCCAAATGCCCATCGATGATAGACTGGGCAGGGAAAATGTGGCACATATACACCATGGACTATTATGCAGCCATCAAAAACAATGAGTTTGGGTCCTTTGTAGGGACATGGATGAACCTGGAAGCCATCATTCTCAGCAAACTGACACAGGAGCAGAAAATCAAACACAGCATGTTCTCACTCATAGGCGGGTGTTGAACAATGAGAACACATGGACACAGGAAGGGAAGCACTACACACTGGGGTCTGTTGGGGGGAAATAGGGGAGGGGCAGCAGGGGGTGGCGAGTTGGGGGGGGATGGCATGGGGAGAAATGCCAGATATAGGTGAGGGAGAGGAAGGCAGCAAATCACACTGCCACCTGTGTACCTATGCAACTATCTTGCGTGTTCTTCACATGTACCCCCAAACCTAAAATGCAATAAAAAAAATGTTTGTGCTTTGAACAATGGAGAGAAGGGATTTAGTTATAAGGGTTCCTGCTTTCACAGAATTATTCCAGGCTTTGTGTCAGGGTGGTGGCTTCACAGACCATGATGGCACTGGCTGCAACTAACCCTAAGTCTTTATGTGAGCTCTTCTTCCTGGGTTTCATCTACTTTTTCTGTCTCATTTGGGCATCCAGGACCACCCTCCCTGCCGCCCACCTCATTAAGTCTAGCATTCTCCAGGGCTGTTCCTTAGCCAATCTTCTTTTGGTCTCCATTAATTTTTCATTTATTGGTTTCAAGTCTTTATTCCAACCACCTGTTCCAACCTCCCTGTCCACCCTGGAAGGTGTGGGAAGTAGAAAAGTTTCTCTTTTTTTTTTTGGCTGGAGTGCAGACGGAGGTTCGCTTTTGTTACCAGGCTGGAGTGCAATGGTGCGATTTCGGCTCACCGCAACCTCCGCCTCCTGGGTTTAGGCAATTCTCCTGCCTCAGCCTCCTGAGTAGCTGGGATTACAGGCACGCACCACCATACCCAGCTGATTTTTTCTATTTTTTAGTAGAGACGGGGTTTCACCATTTTGACCAGAATGGTCTCGATCTCTTGGCCTTGTGATCCACCCACCTCAGCCTCCCAAAGTGCTGGAATTACAGGCGTGAGCCACCGCGCCCGGCCGAAAAGTTTCTCTTTAAAGTTTCCTTTCTTGTTAAAGAATAAATCGTAAGTGTGTTAATAAATCTTTGTGAAGCTCTATCCTATGTAGCTGTTAGACATGCCATGCTTACAGGCGCACAGTATATTTTATGTCCTTGTACTTTAACCAAGATATCTGTGCTGGACGTGCTCACAGGCATGTCTCAGATCTCCATTGCTTTTGTTTGTTTAGAAAAGTTTTAAGTTATTAGCCAATCGGGTTTTAGTTTAGATTGTGAGGTCTGGCACCAGCCAATGGAGATCGAACACAGCAGTAAGGACGACCCCAAATGCATAAGGAATAAATATGTCTGCTTTCCTTTGTTCATTGTACTCTCATGGCAAGATGGCTAGCAAGGTACCTTCCTGCAGTCCAGGAAGTAACAACTGCGTTGCTGAAAAATCCTTTGTCTCAGTGCTAATTTTTCTTTGTGGCACTGAGCATCTATTTCCAACAAAGGTAAGGATAGATGGTGTCCACTGCAGGAATAGCCAAGTCCTACTTGGGCCATGGGATTGGGAATGTGGAGCTCCCAGGGAGAAAACTGAGCCTCCTAGGGCCAGGCAGCATGTGCCAGGGAAAAGCCAGAGGGCTGGGGACCTTCAGGGAGGTGAGTGAATCGCCTCCTTGGCTGTCCTTGACATTCTGCAACAACCATCATGGAACCTAAGAGGGGGGTTTTATTGAAAGTTGGTGAATCCCAAGGTCCAACCTACGGGGAACACATTTTAGGTAGGCAACCAAGTTTAAGAAAAACAGAGAAAATGAGTTAAAAAACAGTAAGGGGCAATGTGGTTCCAAATTACCTTTGTCATCAGCTTAAGCTAACCCTAACCCTAACCTACAGTGATTTCCCCTGAAGAACAGAGAACTCCTTTCTCCCTTGCCTGAGAATTCTGCTGGCTACTATTCATATGATTCAAAGTGTTGCCATTTAATGCCCATATAATATAACATAGTGCTTCTCAACGTATGGTCTAGGGACTCCTGATGTCTCCAAAACTCTTACAGGAAATCCACCAAGTAAAAAATATTTGTATCATAATACCAAGATGTTATTTTGACTTCCATTCTCTCTGGAGTATACAGTGGAATATTTTCAAAGGCCACATTGAAATATCATAATACGTCTTTATAGTGGAATGATTTATAATCCTTTGGGTATATACCCAGTAATGGAATTTGCTGGATCAAATGGTATTTCTGGTTCTAGATCTTTGAGGAATCACCACACTGTCTTCCACAATGGTTGAACTAATTAACACTCCCACCAACAGTGTCAAAGTGTTCCTATTTCTCCACAGCCTCACCAGTATCTGTTTCCTGATTTTTTTTTTTTTTTTTTTTTTTT